GATGTATGATCTCAGATATTTTGGTCAAACATATTTGCAAAAGAAGTTAATATAGTAAAGAAAATAACAGATGGAATTGGTCTAATAGTCATGTTGCAGCTGAGCTCAGAAATGTTCAGAGATTTGGAATACTGTGAGGAGAGTAACTGTAGGAACACATTGAGTAACTATAGGAACACAATGAGGTAATGAACTAAGAAAAGACACTGATGCAGCAGGAAGCTTTGTCATATCAGTTCCAGAAATAAAACTGCTGTGTAAATTTAACAATTTAAGCAATGACATGTAACCAGTGTGAGGATCTCACATCACTGAAAATGTCTTTGCTTTTCCATTTCATATCAGAATTATTACAGAACCATTATTATTTAGTCCAGGCTCGGGCTTTCATCTGCAATATATAATGTCTAGTTTATTTCTAGGAGGGTGGAAAAAGTCTTGTAGTACAACAGTTCCAGTCAAATAATGCAAGTGTTGAGAGATGCTAACTGCTTATCAGCATTCTTATCCTTCCACCATTTTCATGTAATCTTTACCAGACTCAGCCTGCCCGCCCCATCAAACGAGATTAGAAAGACTCAGTTGGTCGCCCTCAATTTCCATCCGCAAACAGGAGGACAAATTCTTCAGCAATGATTAGTTAATTTATTCCAAGGCTATTAAAGAATCATCATTGCTATGTTTTACTTATTGAAGCAGTGTGCTGGAGTCCCTTTTTGTAGAATTGATCATTGGTTCGTTAGTTGTGTGGGCCAACCACTGCACAAATTTCAGCATTGCTGAGGTGAATATTGCAGTTGCGATCAGCTATTTTAGCACAGGCTGGGAAGAAAACTAGGATTATTCTGATCTTTATGGCTCTGTTCACCACCCTCGTGTGAGATTTCCCACATCAGCTAATCCTATGGCCTTCCTGAGTGAGAACTGGTGTGAATTATAGACAATTTTATGATCTGGTCTTCCACCTACTTAGGAAATGGGTTAAGATTTCTAAACACATTCTATTTTGTATCCTACAGCTATCAAAGCTCTCTTTAATGTCCCAACAGCACGCATGTAAGAGTTTTTACAGACAAAAATGGTCAAAATAGGTGAAATTACAGGCTGCTGGCGTATCCCCACAGGAAAGGAGGAAGGGAACACGTCTTATCAATATATTCGGAAGAGTCGGGGAAAGTTACTGGGATGTTTTGGAAAGGCCATGGCTGATCTTCTAACCTAACTCCATCTGCCCGCCTTATCCCCATATCCCTAAATCCCTCTATCCTTTAGAAATCTATCAATCCAGTCTTGAATATGTCTTATCATTACTATCAAAGAGCATAGTCTTTTTGTGTCTTTCATTTCACTGGTTGAATTCAGATTAGGCACAAGAAATGAAGCTAAACAACTGACTGCTGGCCAACTCATGTGCCCAGCACAGTACAAGTCATTCTGAGGTTATCGGGATGTTGTGAGAGTTCAATATTCAATGAATAATTCATCAGTGTGTCATCTCCTGAATCAACCAAAATCAATTCACTCTCTTAGATAGAAATCATGAGTGGGAACCAACATATTTTTCCACCTCCTCTTGTTGACAGTTGCTGAGGTTGATTGTAATGCCTCCAACTTCTGCCCTACTGGAGAACTGAGCTGCACTAACTAATTCAGCAATAGATTGTGCCTTAAAGCTGCAGTATTTTGATCTATACAGTTCACTGCTTACATCATTCAATATTTACATACTAAGCCACCGAAAAGCAGAAATTAATAAAAAAATAAGCTGGTATTTAATGTACACCCTTCTATAGTCTGGCTATTAAAGTAATCCTGAAAATATCTGAGTCCACAAATGCATTTTCGTTGCTTTCTCATAAAGTTTGTATGTTCTAATCAAAAGAAATTGATACAACAGAAACCATGTATCACTCCTATTTGCACATCTGTCAAAGATTACATTGTTGCTTCCAAATGGTTGTTTTCGTTGAAACTGCTTCAATCAGTTTGTGAAGGCTAGATTTTTAAAGATAAACTGTGCTGATAGTTTATTACAAATCAATGAGTGTATCTGACAAAAAGGTACATTGTTTCTTTTACAAAATGGGCTCTTTCAACTGCATCACGCTATCCTCTTTGGGGGGAAGTAAGTGGGGTCTCCTTGGAGCTGAACTGGTTCCAAGGTGACATGCTTGGCAATGGATTCGAGCCAGCCCTCTGTTGCGGTCTCAGTAGTCCGGTTCCTGAGCAAGGCAGGTCTGTAGTATTCCAGGGCACTGCTGATGACCCCACAGCCAGCCTGGCTCATTGGCAGGACCTGGAAGAGCAGACTGGTCACTGGGAGCAGGGAGTCATCCCACTCAGCCCCTGTTAACCAAAGCCTTAGCTGTGCTAGGGTGGTTCTAGCTGGACAAGCAGTGGGAAAGCTTGCTGGACAGCAATATCAATGGTAAGCTATGCAGTTAGACTCCAGCAGTATCCCAAAACACACTCTAAGGTCCCCAAGCCTTGGCTCTTGCCAACTTGCGCTTAATACTTTACGGAATTAGATAAGCACGATGCATCCCTCCAGAGAGAAAGTGGGCATTCCGTTCTAACAATCTATAATAATAACAATAATCCTTGCATTTGATATAGCGCTTTCATGTCTTCTAGACGTCTTAAAGTGCTTCACAGAATATACTGTAAAGTGCATCAACTGTGTATTTGTGGGCGAAACGCAGCAGCTAATTGCACACATCAGTGTCCCAGCAGTATCTTGGATTTCCATATGTGGGTGGGCTGCACGGAAATCTCAGCTTGGTTTGGATATTCTTAAGCATGGTAACGGGTTTCCGCATGTGTCAGACATCCGGCTGACCAAATTAAACTGTTTTATCCTGTTAGAGTGACAGGAATTACTCTGTTTTACTGTAGAGCAGATTTAAAAAGTTTAATTTTTATCATGTCTTATCACATCTAAGACCTTGTTACAGTAATTATTGTTAAGTGAAGTAACTTTTTTGAAGGCATTTGTGGTGAACGAGGAGCATATTCAGTTCAGGTCTCAAGCATCTCTAGTATTATTGGGGTAGGCTAGAATATTGACACAAGCAGACAGACCTGCAGCCTAAACCCAGGCGTTTGATTTCAAGGCCTTTTCATCACTGAACAACATAGAACTGAATCAACTAGATCGCTCATTCCTTTACAATTTATGAATTCCCCTTCTGTTCATCCTCTCCTCTTTTCGACGGACTCTACTGGACTCCTGGGCCAGAAGCGATGAATTGTCCATTTTATCTCTGACCACTACCATTGCTACTGCTGATCTAGGCCACTAGGAGGTGCTGTGGCACACTTAGATCAGCACTATCTCAATAGATTTTAATTACAAACCTGGGTACGGACCCTAATGTTCACTCAGATCAAAATTCTCAGGGATCCTATTTGCGTCAGATACATTGGTTGCCCTTGTTCTGCTATATTTCAGCTGTGAGGCCTCCTTAAGCAGAACATGTGGGAAAACAGCAGAAAACAGCGAGCAGTTGCTTACATTGGCAAAATGTGTGGTCAGTTCTGGGTCACTAAATTCAGAATAAATTTCTGGTGAAGCGTTTCTGCTTGTTTAACCCAAATCTATCTTTAAAAAATGAAATCTGCCATCTGAAAAACAATATTTACAAACGATGCTATTCCCTTGTATATCATGTTTTTTTTAAAACTAGGAACCATTTTCAGATTATTGTACTATTTAGGCCAGACTGCAGCACCTCTTGATACATCCCAGCTGACACCAAACTCAGTTTCTCCATCCACACAGCTGTTAACAAGTGCAAAGGACAAGGATTGCAAAGCAACAGCGAGTCAGAGCTCTCCAGCATATGGGGACAGAGTTGGTTGATGTCAGGGCAACTCTCCTCTCTTTTGCTGGGTTCTTGATCTTTATTATAGAGGGATGCTGAGGCCAGAACTCTATGGAGGAAAGATAAGAGGATCCCTGTCACCAAACTATTATTCCACACCTTCCTGTAGCCATGTTAACAATGGCATACGTAGATGGCTCCCTCTCAGCTTTAAGATAGCAAAAAGAGATTTTAAATAAAGAAGAATTTGGAAAGTAAAAAGGGGCAGTCACTCTCAGAGTCCCATTGGCACCCATTACTAAGAATGCATTATAGCGTTGGCTGGCATGGGTTATCATGGCTCAATTGGTAACACTCTTGCCTCTGAATCAATCAGAAGGTTGTGAGTTCAAGTGCCACATTGGGACTTTGAACTCGCAGTCTACCCTGACACTCCAGTTCAGTGTTGGGGGTGCATTTGTGTTGGCGGTGCCGTCCTTCAGATGAGATGTTAAACCGAGGTCCTGTCTGCTTGTTCAGTGGGACATTAAAAGTTCCCGCGGAGGTATTAGAAAAGGAGAAGCGAGTTCTTCCTGGTGGTGTGGCCAACAATTCCCCATATATATATATATATAAAAAAAACTGCTTGTTCACTTCATGGCTGTTTGTGGGAAAATGGTGGGTGCAAACTGGCTGTCCGCGTTCGCCCACAAAATACACAGTCAGGACAGTAATGCTCGAGGGCTGTGAGTGACCGCCCCATGTGAAGGGCGTAAATGCGGGTCGGTAGCAAAACTCTGCAAGTGCTCGGGGAGCCATGTAAGGCGCCGGAAAAGCAAATGTAGAGATTATTAATTTGCTGTAAGATCTCGGGACCCTTTTTTTTTGGGGGGGGGGGGGGAAGCTGGTAAACGTGAGAGTCTCTCTCTCGCACTTTCCCCTCACTCCCCCCCTCCCCACCCCTCCCCACCCCACCCCCCTCTGCTCCTCCTTGCGGAAGTGGTCATGTGTTAAGTGAATGCAGCGCACAGAGTACTGGGGCCCACATTGCACTGCGAGCGCTGTAGTTCGCCCGTTGCAAAAAAAAAGTACTGTATATATATATATATACACACACACACACACATACATACATCTCTCTCCGTCTGTCTGTGTGTCTGTGTGGGGGTGTGGGGGCGGGGGTGGGAGTCACTGGTGATGGCGGCATCGGGGCAGCGGAGGAGAGGTGCGGGTGGGCTGTGTCGGGCGCTCGGCACCATGCAGTGGGGTTTGCGAGTGGCCGCGCTCGGCTGCCTGTTGCTCGGGCAGTGCCGGGCGGCGATGGACGAGTGTTACGAGGGACCTGAGCAGCAGCACCAGCAGCAGCACCAGCCCCGGGCACAGCAGCACCAGCCCCGGGCACAGCAGCACCAGCCCCGGGCACAGCAGCACCAGCCCCGGGCACAGCAGCAGCACCAGCCCCGGGCACAGCGCTGTATGCCCGAGTTCGTCAACGCCGCCTTCAACGTGACGGTGGCGGCCACCAACACTTGCGGTTCGCCGCCCGAAGAGTACTGCGTGCAGACCGGGGTGACCGGGGTGACCAAGTCCTGCCACCTGTGCGACGCCAGCGACCCCCGGGTCCACCACAGCGCCGTGTACCTGACCGACTACAACAACCAGGCCGACACCACCTGGTGGCAAAGCCGGACCATGCTGTCCGGGGTCCAGTACCCCAACACCATCAACCTGACTCTGCACTTGGGTAAGTCTTTATACCGTGTTACTACTCCATAACCTCCCCCCCACCACCCCCTCCCACCAGCCCTCACCCCCTCCACCACCACCACCAGCCCTCACCCCCTCCACCCCACCACCACCCCACCCCCTCCCCCCCCACCAGCCCTCACCCCCCCCCCACCACCACCACCTCACCCCCACCCCCACCACCACCACCACCAGCCCTCACCCCCTCCACCACCACCACCAGCCCTCACCCCCTCCACCACCACCACCAGCCCTCACCCCCTCCACCACCACCACCACCAGCCCTCACCCCCTCCCCACCACCACCAGCCCTCACCCCCTCCCCCCCCACCACCACCAGCCCTCACCCCCCCACCACCACCACCCACCAGCCCTCACCCCCCCCACCACCACCACCACCAGCCCTCACCCCCCCCCACCCCCTCCCCCACCACCACCAGCCCTCACCCCCCCACCACCACCACCAGCCCTCACCCCCCCACCACCACCAGCCCTCACCCCCTCCACCACCACCACCAGCCCTCACCCCTCCACCCCCCCCCCCCCCCACCACCACCACCCCTCTCCCCCCCCAAACACTACTGGTTGTTTTTACCATTTTTTTTAAATAAAGAAAAACTCCCCCCCCACCCCCAAAAAAAAATTTCCACCCGTTGTTTCCCCCCCCCCCCACCCCCACCCCCAACCACCACCAAAAAAAACAATGCAGATAAACAAATAAACCCTTTCGTTATTGGAAAAAACAAATGCAAAAAGAAAAAAAAACACACTTTACAACCCCAAACCCCACCACCCGCACATCTTTTTTTAAAAAAAAACTATTGAAAAGTTCCCACACCGACTTCGGTAGCAACAAGTTTTCTTTCCGGAGACTTAAGGACCACACCCCCCCCCCCCAAAAAAAAAGAAAATGTTTCCCCCGGGGTTTGACTTTGCATCGTTAACGCACTTTGTGGTTATAATTATTATTATTATTATTATTATTATGTCCTGATTCATTGTCATATTTTTTTCCTCTCTCCCCCCCTCCTCTCACTCACTCACTCACTCAACACTTAATATATACCCAGAGCCCAAGTGCCGGCGTTTAAAGTTAGTTCCAAGTGTTGCTTTTAATTGTAGAGAGAAAACCCCGAAAATCTGAGGCTGAGATATGTGTGTGTGTGTGGGGGGGGTGTGTGTGGGGGGGGGGTGGTGGTGTGGGGGGGGGGGTGTGGGGGGGGGGTGTGGGGGGTGTGTGTGTGTGGGGGGGTGTGTGTGTGTGTGGGGGGGTAGTGGTGTGGGGGGGGGGTGGTGGTGTGTGGGGGGGGGTGTGGGGGGGGGTGTGGGGGGGGGGTGTGTGTGTGGGGGGTGTGTGTGTGTGGGGTGTGTGTGTGTGTGGGGTGTGTGTGTGTGTGGGGGTGGGTGTGTGTGTGGAGGCGGTGTGTGTGTGTGGAGGGGGGGTGGTGTGTGTGTGGAGAGGGTGTGTGTGTGTGGGGTGTGTGTGTGTGTGTGGGGGGGGGTGGTGGTGTGTGTGGGGGGGGGTGTGGGGGGGGTGTGTGTGTGGGGGGGGTGGTGTGTGTGGGGGGGGTGGTGGTGTGTGTGTGGGCTGTGTGTGTGGGGGGTGGGTCGCTCGGGGTTGAAGATGGCAGGAAAGTTAGGAGACATCTGATCTGCGCTGAACCCTCCTCCCCTCGAAAGAGACGAGGTTTCTTTTATTTTCTTTTTCTTTTACGTTCACTCCTTGAGCGATCGCAACCTCTCAGGCGCAACCTTATAACTACTGCACATAGAGGGACACCACAGACTCTGAGAGAGAGTGTCTCTGTGTGTGTGTGTCTGTGTGTGTGTGTCTGTCTGTGTGTGTGTGTGTGTCTCTGTGTGTGTGTGTCTCTGTGTGTGTGTGTGTGTGTCTCTCTCTGTGTCTCTGTGTGTGTGTGTGTCTCTGTGTGTGTGTGTGTCTGTGTCTGTGATGTGTGTGTCTGTGTGTGTGTCTCTGTGTGTATGTGTCTGTTATGTGTGTGTCTGTGTGTGTGTCTCTCTGTGTGTGTGTCTGTGTGTGTGTGTCTGTGTGTCATATTCTACACTTTCTGTACAGGTTCAGTTTTCTTGGGGGGGGAAACAGCCCTTTTTGGAGGCACGTTCTTTAGTTGTGTTCAAGTTTGCCATAACACTGTAGAGAAGTGCGTTGGCGTGAATGTGTTTCTACAACTTTTTTGTGGGGGGAGGGAGGGAGGGGGTGGGGGGAGGAAGGAGGTGGTGAAGAGTTTTTTTTAAAACACTTCTCCAAGATGGCGTTTTGTTTTATATGGCGTCGAGTTTCTGTGTAGTCAAAATCTGGATCAGGAGGAAGGGAGGGAGGGAGGGGGAAATTCCGTGTGCAAGTTTGCTGTGGAAGGAACAAGAGCGCTCCTTCCTTCCTTCACTCACTCACTCACTGGCTGCTGTGTTGTTGAGGTGCAGCTCGACTGTTTGCACTTTGCACCCACCTAGAAGGGGGTGGGGAGGTGGGGAATGAACTGGAAATTGGAAAATGCATTTCACTGAGGAGGACAGGGAGGATCGGAGGGGAGGGTGGAGGGGGGGGTGCAAGAAAGAGAAAGCAATTCCTTGCATAACTTAAGTCCGCTGCTTGCATTCTTCCCAGTGCTTTTGGATCTATCAGTTTTGTGACTCAAATTGGGATCAGTGAGGCTTGACGTAGGATTGACATTTTTGACTGCCCACAACCCCCACTCCACCCCACCCACAAACACACACACACACTCCCACCTCCTTCACCTCCCGCTCCTGCCTCCTGGTTCAGTCCTTCTCATGGTGCTCTTTCCAAGACCCGCTCATCTTTCAGTAAGCCTGACAGGTCCTATAAATGCATTGACTCTGCATTGCACTGTTTGCTCTCTCCAAACCCCCACCTCCCCCCTCCCCTCCAAAAAAAGCACATTTGCTCCCTTTGTACTTAGGAGAAATTTTAAAAAAAGCCAATAGAAAAACTTCCCAGTAACTTTCAGTAACTATATACAGACACATTGGTCACCACATTGTTGGGAGGCTGGGTTTTATTGATCTGTATAATCTGAAGTTTTGTTGAGAGGATACTGGAATGAACTCGTATCCCAGCCAGCGAGGGAGTTACAGTAGTTTAAACAGATCTTAAATTCTGACTCTCTGCAAATGATCAGAACATTAGATCGTGATAAAACATATGCTGTCACAGCATTGGGTACCTAACTTTGTGCCGGCTGAGCATGACGGTGTCACTTAGCAGACTTCAGCGTTTTCCTCTTTGGAAATTGAGTGCCTTAATTTTTTATATAGAAAGCAAACTGTGCAATCCTAGCTATCACTAACCCGTTTGATTATTACGTATTAATCATTATACACCGGGACTTGAGTTCACAGTCCACATTGACACTTCTGTGTGCTGTCCGAGATGTCTGTTCCTTTGAATGAGATGTTTAAACTGAGGGCCTGTCTGCTTGTTCAGGTGGACACTAAAGATCCCATGACACTTATTTGAAAAGGAGAAGGGAGTTTTTCCCTTTGTGCTGACCAAAAATCCTCCAGCTCACTTGGTCATTCACTTCAAGGATGTTTGGGACCTTGCTGTGCGCAAAATGGCTGCTGCAAAAGTCATTAAAATTTGAATGTAATTAGTGCAGAAGGTTCTGAGACCTTTCAACAATAACAACTTGCATTTATATAGCACCCTCCACGCAGGGTAGCATCTCAGAGCACTTTTGGTACAGTGTTATAAATTGCAAGTTCTCTTTCACTTTGCTGATTTTGATTCTACTCTTGCCCTTTTGGTTTCAACCGAAATTCATTTCAGTCCAGTTCTTCTTGTCTTATTGAAGGAAAATAGTGTTTGGAGGTGACCTATTTACACCAACTAGCTGTGCCATAAATCTATGGGATTTGTACCAAAAGTTTCCCAATGTTTTGCTCCAAAATCTGGAAGGGACGAGAGAGACTGGACCGTTCTTGATGGGAAAAGGGAACTTGGAAGATGAGTTAATGCCTCTCTTATCTCTCCCTCAAATTAAAGCCTGGTAGCTACTCTAAATTAAACTTGTTTATGGACACCAAACAGTAAATTAGTAATTTATTTGGGCTGTCCCCTCGGTATGACGTCTGCTAGAAAAAAAAATCAAAATTAAACCGTTCTATGAAGCTAAATGCCCTGGTCCACTCAAGATTAGTCCCATTAGAACAACACTCACAATTTGTATATTTTCCAGTTGGCTAGCCAAACAACAGATGCATTCAAAGTTAAATATTTATTCTGCATGAGCTGCTGTTCACTCAATGTAAAATGAACATGCCGCTGTTCAGTGCACTGAGAAACAGCTTAGCCAGAGCGTGAGTTGTTTTTATTATTGTTTAATGTGAGAATTCAAAGCAAATCTCCTTCCAAGTGCCATCACTTTACCTGACTGAGATTACAATGTTTCAATCCTGTAATGGACAAGTGTAAACAATCTGAATCAGCTGTGATTGTAGCAGCTTATGGTGGGAATTTACTTTTGTGTTTGATTCTCGGTGGGTCAGTGCCTTGACTGCATGGTGTAGTACTGAGCCAGGTGGTGCAGAAAGGTTACAGATGTAGGAACGTATAGGAACAGGAGGAGGCCATTCAGCCCCCTGTTTCGCCATTCTAATAGATCACGGCTGATCTGTACCTCAAGCACTTGTATCTTTCGGATTACCTTTACTCAGCTGGGACCTCAGCAGCAGGTGTATGTGAGAATTCAAAGCAGGTGTACAGTTAGCAGCGGGCGGAGGAGGGAAGAAGAGAGCAAAATCATTCGTAATTGCTGATCTTTGCTGCAAAATGCAAATACTGTATGTACAGTACATATCTGAAGACTGCATTCTGCAGTGCTGACAATACTGTATTTAGACTACCACATGAACAGTGGGGGCCACTGGCAGTTATATACCTATATGAACCCAGGACATGTCACTGAGATTGATGAGGTAAGATCAGAAGATTTTGAAGAGGAGGGCGGTTTCTGT